TAGTAAATCACAGAGACACAGCTGTTCCACGTGATTCTGGCCAGGTGGCTATGGTCTTTCCAGTACACCCACAAACTTGGCAGCGTCAGAGATTAAAAGGCGCTTTCTTAAGATATGGACTGTACTCTCCAAGAGCTCACAATTGAACATGAGTAGAACGGGGTAGAATTATATATGGGGTGTGGTGGAGGAAATGGGACACACTAAGATGATGGAGTTGGAGGAGGTAGAAGGGTTCTATAAAGACAGGCATAGGAGACAGACTTGGAAGAGTAGGCACAGTGTGGAGAGGGGAGATGGGGGCACGTACCAGGCAGAGCAACTAGAGCGGGAAAACCGGGGGCATGTTTGGGGTATAGCTGTACATGCATTTTGGCAGCGCATATGTTATGTGTTGGGAAGCTGTTAGAGAGCAAGCTGGAGAGGTAGGCTGGGGCCATACTGGAGATTTTGAATACCATGCAGAGGATTGGATTTAATTCTATAGGCAAGGGGCATCCATTGAGGAAGGGCTGTGTATGTGCATGGGGGAGGGGTGGGGGGGATTGGTTGTTGGATTGTTTCATTTTGTTTGAATTAAGGAGGGACTATGATGAAAGTGGGCTTTAGGAACATTAATATGGTCATGGGGGTAAAGGTGGGTAGATTAGCATGGGGAGTCACCAGAGGCAGCGAGACCCATTATCTGAGATGGAGCCGTGTGGAGGACTAGAACTGGAGAGTGGGAACAGAAGTTAAAAACACCCATGTGTTTTGGGAGAGAAAAATCAATAGGACGTGGCTACTGCTTTGCATATGGGCTTGCACACGTCTCATCAGCTAAAGTTCAATTGTATTGAAATTTTTTACTCCTAGAGGCAATGCCTTTTTGAAAACTAATCATTTCTCAATGACTTAAATTTGTGGAGTGGAGTTCTTTTAAATTAGTGATTCCCCAGTCTGCCTGACCATAAGAATCACCAGGACATGTTAGAATACAGATCATCAGACTGTCACCCCTGGAGGTTGATGTAGTGGGTCTAAGATGGTACCCAGGAATCTGGATTTTATCAGAGGCCCCATGTCAGTCTTACTTATGAGCAGGCAAGTTTGGGAAATAGTGGCTTAAAGTGCTTACTCGTTGAACAGTTTTCATTTGAAATGGGGTTCATTCATATTCCAGTAATCAGTGCACCCTCTTTTCCCCAATCCCCTCACCTTCTGTGGTCTTTCAATTCCTAGATGCTTTAATTGAGTAAAAAGTTCCCAATAGATTTGTACCTACTGAAAATCACACTTTTGAAGCTACCTGGCCACCAGAAGACACAGCTAACCTGCCCTGTGAAAAACCAAAGGTCTTTCTCCATCAAACCCTGATTGTGATCAGCTGTGGCGGGTGCACTGTGGGTGGAGGGTGAGGAGTAGGGAAGATGAAGGCTCCTGCAGCTGACAAGCCCCAGTAACAACCCTTTGGGAAACAAGAAAGGAGGTCAGACTCAGGAAAGTCGTTTTGCCTCCGTGCCTGAGAACACATTGTTGACACTAAGGAAGCTTATCTATCCTGGGGAAAAGGAAAAAGCTAATTTTAGCAGTTGCGCTTTTCTTGTCGGGATTGTGTAGCCTTAAGATGGCATCTAAGCTGCTGACCAAAAATGGAAAATTCTGTGCACTTTTAGTCTTACCAGGCTTTAAATACGAATCAGAGCAGGATTAGATTGTTTCTTAAACAAAGTGAATAGTTTTCACATTGTTAAGCCATTGGAGGCCAGAACAGCTGCTCAATAAAAGCATCTCTGGGGGGAGATACAGAGGCCAATTCACCACCAGCACTAGGCTCAGATACATCCCTCTCCCTAAGAAGTTTAAATTTACTTTGAAGCCAGTGAAATTTACTCCGAAGCCAGCTCTGCCCCCACTGAAGTCGGTCAACATTCAGCCTTTCAGCTTCTCAAGTCTTTTCACCAGCACCACTGGACACTTCAACTTCCAGTTTTGCTTCATTCTCTGCAAAGACACCCCCTTTCTTCGTTTTCCACGGTCTCCCTACAACCTCACCTCCTTCTGAGTTCTTATTCTCTCCTGTCATTGTCCATCTCAGCTTCCCAAAACCTTACGCAGAACACAAATTGGCCAATCAAGACTCACGTGCGGGAGCACCCACTTACATGCTGAGTAAGGTAGCTGGTTCCTGGGGGCAGAAATGTGGTTGGACACAGAGATAAAAAACATAATCCCTGCCCTTCTGGACTCATCATAGAGTGGGGCAAGAGACACATGAGCAAGTACACACAGCATGATAATTGCAATAGTCAGGGGAGGAACATCATCCAGACAAGACACGGAGAGAGCCAACGTTCCCAGGAGGCAATGTGTCCAGTGCTTACTCCCCAGAGAGCTTTTCCTGACATATCACTAGGTTTGCCCTGATTATTGAATAAGAAAACTAGGAGGAAAAATGCATATTCCTCTTGCTATTTCATTTAGTAATACACAAATTATGAAATTATTAATGATATTAGGAGGTTGATTCAATAACTTTCAAATCAAAAATTAATAGTAATATTTAGAGGAAATTGTGTGTAGTGTGTATGTTTGTGTGTGTGTATATACACATTGTTTTCTGAAATCTTCAATTACTTTTTGCTTCTTTTGAAGCAAAAGTAGAACTTTAGAATTTGGGACCCGTGGGTTCAAAACATCTTGAGTACACTGAAGGGCATTCGGTTAATTTCGGAAATGTACTTTGGTTTCTATGGTGTCTTTTTTCCATGCCGACCTATTTACTGTTTTAAAAACAAACTGAGAACAAACAAGATCAGCAAATCAAACTTTGGTAAAGAAGACGGGGAACTGATTATAGGTCCCAAAAAGAGCATCACTTAACCAATGGATGTGTGCGCTTGGTACACTAAGCTCCTCTCTGAAACTGGGAAGTGGGTGGATGAGGTAGGCGATGGTCTGTCTGGCTGTATTAGAAAAGATATCTTAGAACTATTACCTATGTAGATATATGCTCTTTGGTTGTTTTACTGAAAATAAGAATATCTTAGCTTTATTGGCTCATTTTGTTTTATCAAATAACTTTAATTGCAGTTGTGAATATTCCTGTTTGTCTTCATGATAACCTGAAGATTTAGAACAGATGTACTTACTGCCATTTTTCACAAGTAAAAATGGAGGAAACGAGAAGATGAGACAGTAGAATACGGGTGGAGCTAGGAATAGTGGAGTCAGGCCATCTGCAGAACACTACAACTTCTTTTACGTTTGTGTTCTTAGAAACCTAGGAAACCAATATTTTCTAAGATCAGCTAACTCGCCAAATTTGGTAAAGCCTCCAGGTGTCGCCCTTTCCATGCCTACCAACATCCGTGATGGCGACTCAACTGGTCCCAGCCATGTGACATACAATCCTAGTGCATTGCTGGGTTCTGATGTTTTCTTAGAATGTTTTTCTTTACAGCCTTATTGAAATTAGGCATATTTCTTCTGACCTGGTTTGTGTAACCTTTATGTTTTTGCAGGTGAAAGAAAATGGTGTTAGGTCAGTTAATCCACTGTTGACCCACAAATCAGATGAGGTACAGGTAACATTGTTATGAAGATGGAGAGGTGCCTGCATTTCCCACACTCTCTCCCGTCCCTCAGCTGGCCATAGCATTGGAATATCTTCTATTTTACTAAGTATTTGGAGTTGTTTCTAGTTCTAGGAACTTCTCATCCTTTCCCTACTCAATTTAAATCAAGGGGCACTTGAGTATCTGGAAAATACTCAGCACTAGTAGCAGCAAGCAAGAAACACCAAAACATTATAGACAGTGCTTGTGTTCCCCTCCAATATCAAATGAGAGTTATTAAAAGTGAGAGTTACATTTCTGAATAAGTTTTGGAATTAAGCACGTCTTAAATGCTCAACTGGTTGTCATGGAAGCAAAATGGTAACTGCTAAGGTTTTTCTTCAACCAAAATAGTAGGACTGTGTTTGGCCCGCTAAAATGGGAACAAAGGTACCAGACACATTGATTATAAAAATTGCACTAACATATTCAGGTAGCCTAATTTTTAAAAACTAGACTATGTCAAAAGTTTAACCAAATAGATCTACCAGCTAAGAGAAACATTATTTAATTGACAAATAATTTTATTTCTCTCTTAGAGAAGTGCAGATAGACTTTGGGATTATCATAATGGTTCTGACATCTTTAAAAAAAGATTTTAGGCTGATGCCATGGTAACTCTGTTATTCAGGATACATGACTTCTTTTAAGTAGAGGTATTCAATAATTGCTCTATTAAAGCTGCTTCAGAGTAATATAATCACTCCACTTGACAGACTATTAATAGTTATTAGAGCACTTCAGAATTCACTGGAATTCTCTGGAAATAATTATCCAGTTATTAGCATAGACTCCAAACAGACCTTCAAAATACATTTCACAGGTTTGCTAAAACAAACTGTAAGTCTGCCAAAGGTAGTTGCTTTTATTTGTTGAGGCATTGAGTGAAATTTTAAAAATTAAAAGCTAAAGGTCAAAAGATTGATGCTCTGGGTTTTAACGGGAGAACACTGAATTGGGGTGTGGGCTGCCACTGAAGAACTCTGGATGAGAGAGCCTCAGCACGCCATGAACACAGCACCCAGCATGCTTCTGAGCACATGATTGGCGCTCACAGATATGATCAATGAACGTACTTATGAACCTGTTGGAGAGGAAGTGATTGGAGATAATTAGAGATTATATGTAATAAAACAGTAGATTGCATAGCTCTTGAATTGCTCTATCTAGACGAGAGGTTTGACTGGTAAGATTGGGCTCAATGGTGGAGAGTAAAGAGCTCATCCATCACGCATGATTTGAACAGGTACACGCTTAGCCTTGCTATCCTGTGACTGTTCTGAATTCCAGAACTCAAGCTAGAAAGTGGAAGTTTTGTTTCATTGTCTGTGTCTCACAGTTTCTTTTTGGTCTATTGTCTAATGTATGTTGCTAGAATTTTCTTTTTACTCTGACTACCTTCAGGTGGTTGGACGACGCTATTATTGATGAGATTGCACCCAAGCTGATCGGGGATTGGCCCAATGCTTACACCTACACCAAGGCCCTGGGAGAGATGGTGGTGCAGCAGGAGAGCAGGAACCTAAACATTGCCATCATAAGGCCCTCCATTGTGGGAGCAACCTGGCAGGAGCCTTTCCCAGTAAGCCCTGGATTCCATGCTTTGCTTCCAAACCAGCGTCCTTCTAGCCCAATTACTTTCTGATGTCCTTTTTTTTTTTTTTTCTTTTCTTTTTTTCCCTTTTTCTTCTCAGGAGGTATACCTGAGCAAATCAAACATGAACTCATTGTATTAGGGCAAAATTCCACGTTTGGTTCAGGATTTATCCAGCGTGAGGGTTCTCTGGGAGTTACCGTGACCATCCTACAGTTGGGTCGAGGCCTTAAATTAGCTTCTCATTAACTTGAGTCTCAAAATGCCTGTGGGAGATAGTTCTAGTTCTTGCCTTTCCCAGTATAATTTAAATATACCAGAATGTTCTTGATGGCCAGATTGGTAGTATTACAACTGCCAGAGTAAATAGGAATCACAAAGCTCACAGAAGAGTCTCAGTTTAGGAGTAATACTTTTTACCTCTATATGCTGCTGTATCCTTTTGAAAGTACTTTGAATTACACCGTCTTCTTTGCAGCAATTCTGTAAAACTTTAGGGCCAGATAAATTCAAGCTCCACTGCTTACTGACGATGCAGGCTTTTGAGTTGTCTCATCTGAAACACTGGGCTAATACTACCCACATTGGAGAGTTGATCAGATGACATAATGTACGAGGAGTGCTTAGTGCAGTGGCCTGGTCCCTAGTAAAAGGCTCAGCAAATATTACTCCCTCCATTTTCTCCTCTAGTCTCTCTCCTCTCCCACGTTACACATTTTGACTTTTCTGGATAAAGAAACAGACATAATAAGGTCAACCAACTTGCTTAGGGCTTGAGAGACAAACTCAAAAAGACTTTTCTCTCTAAATGCTCCTTAACATAATCTTTCCTCTAACATCAGTAAGCAGGCTAATAAATATATATATAAGATTATATATAAATAAATACATATATATATATATATAATATGGATGCTATGACTCTTAAAATTGCCAAGAAATGGGTAATTCTTACAAATTGTGTTTGAACTGTTCCTCTAGGAGTTAAAATCAGGCCCTGGGTGGAGAAAAATGATGGTCTATGAGTTGGTTAGCAGATTATGATATTAAGACAAGGTCCAATTTAGCCCCAAAGATATCATAAAACAACTTGAAACCATCATGACTCCTGCTATGAAGAAAATGCTGGCAGAATTTTAATTCTTACACAAATAAAGTACAGAAAATAGCCAGTGGCTTGCCATTGGTCTTTGTCTGTGATCTTAGAAATACTGGATTATCAGTTCTATGGGCTAGGGTCTCAGTGCTCTTGTTGGAAATTTGTTAAGATTAGATGCAGGTGTTCCAAAGGTGTTAAAATTTTCTGACATGTGTAACCAATAGAGATCTTTTTTGTTTTTAGGGTTGGATTGATAACCTAAATGGACCTACTGGGCTCATTATTGCGGTATGTATAATTATTAGAAATAACTCCGTGAAATGTAGTGGAGGGATAGTAACAAGGTGCTTAGTATTGGCTTAGCTTCATTGATCCAAACCATAAATATTACTTTACTAACTACAAGTGAAGCAACTTATCTCAATTTTGCTGATTGGAAAATAGAGGCAGAATGAAATTACTTTTATTGTTTGTGGAATATTTATTATCAGGAAAACAGAGGTACTGTGATAGCATCAATTACTATTTGGGGTTTTTTTTTTTTGAAAGTCTGACCTCGAGGACCATGTCTGTATTTCCCCTTAGTTACCACAAGATGGGGGTGTTTCCTGCTTTTCGCTGGTTATTAATAGCTCGAATTAGTGCAGCAAATTGAGGGTGCGATAAAAATCATATTCGCAAAGACTATTAAATCCTTGATTATAAAACACACACAAGAGTTTACGTGTGTGTGGATAGAAATTATATATGTACATAAATTACATCAATAACTAGTTCTTAATAGATACGAGAACGAGAACTCCCGATTGGAGCGAATGTTTCAGATACAGACATTGATGTCTGTGGGAAGCACTGTCAGCGCTAATCCTCTCACAGACCAGGGGAAGCATCAACGGTTCCTCTAGCTCAGCAGCTCTTTGCACGAGTCTCCCTGCGGTGAAGACGGGTCCAGCCTGAGCTGTGGTGCCTCGCAGTTCACGTGGAAGCATCTTAGGACCAGAAGCACGGCTCTGCTCTTGAGAACAACGAATAG